AAGTAGCCAAACGGACTTACGAAAACGACAATTTGATAGTCTAGGTCACATTAATTTGTGTTACAACGTGGTGAAATCAGTCACTCGTCAATTTTTGAGCGTATTATGGAGTTATTGCTATCAAACTGAAGCTTGTTCGTTTTTGAGCATATTATGGAGTTATTGCTATCAAACTGAAGCTTGTTCGTTTTTGAGCATATTATGGAGTTATTGCTATCAAACTGAAGCTTGTTCGTTTTTCTTGAATCAAGTGTAAAGCTTATTGATCGATAATGCAGAGCAGTTGAGATATGTGTGATTTAAGAAGGCGAGGGTTATCTGCTGTTACGACTGAACTTGACGAGAAAATGGCCGCCAACGTTTGGTGACTTTTAAGTTGAACACTTGTACTCGTTCTACGAAATAACATATATTTGGGGTCTTTCAACGTTATCCAGTAAACGAAATCACTTTAAAATATTTTCTTTAATGGATGAAGAAGGTTTCAGTGAAAAATATGGATAAAAATCGCCGGACAGTCGAAAAAAATAAGATCTCCCCGTTTCCAAAAGTGTGACGAGCGCCTGTTTCCACAGCGACAACCTACAGTTGATGAAAATAGTGGCAACCATCATTATTTTCCTAACTTATAATTGGTATAGCACATCCCGAACTGATCTTCTCGGACCAACTAGTTACGTGAGTCTGTCAGTGTCATAGCTCTATCAAGCTCAATGAGAAATCACGCTCAAGATAATTAATTACATTGTGCGCCCGAAGCGAGAACATCATATGTGCCACAATGTAGACAACTGAAAATACATGTACTACATGTTTATGAAACTTTTCAAGCACTTCATTTTGCTGCCCTAGAATTACAAAGTTCTTTTTTCATAGTAGAGGGTTTTGCGGCCCTCGCAACTGCATAAGGTCATATGAGCGCCAAGGGGTGGGTGTCAACAGAGAAGTCTTTACAGGGAATCAGACTAAGACTGCTCACCTCTCTAGCTTCAACAGCACAAGGTCTGCTTCGACTATCAAGGCACCCCAAAATAACAGGTCACAAGAGAGTGACAAACATACAAAAGAATTAGAGGAAAATAACAATAGTAAGGATCAGGAAAGAAAAAGCAGCAGTTCCCTGTTGTAGATCAGGCACAGTTATGAGCGTGACATGAGTCAGCCCATTTACAATTCTACTATGCTCGAATGAGAAATGTCCCCCCTTTGGGAATGGCTTAAAGACACTTCAGTCACTTCAGTCAGTGGCACTGCCCTGGGGGGTTTACAAAGTTCTATCTGCTCAGTACCTGTTTTTGAGAAATTTGACGTTAAAAAAATTGAGTTTCAGAACGTGCCAAGCGTTTTCTAACGCAATTCTTTGAATATCTTGATAACGACTCCGAATAACCTTTCGATTTTAATAGAGCAGATAAAACATTTGGTTTCTAACCTTATGGTCTTAGAAACTCAAAACGGCCAAAAATGCTAGATAGAACTTTATAATTCTACAGTAGTGTTTTGACAGATAGGGTTTAAGCCCGCCTCCTAATTGACTGAAATTGTGTCGAGGGAGGCCTGAAACGTCTACAATTATTTATTTATTATGTATAAATTGTGGACCAATCGCTCATACTCATAGGATGTTGATGTTCCCTTCCAAAAGAAGCTCTCTACATACGGGCTAGTCCAGCTTTCAACCATGACACGATCAAACACATCAGATTCGACGGACAACTAGCGACGTTCCTTTTCCTATTTTACTCTACGGCCATTGTTCCAGTCAGCCTGGTCTCGCAGTTCCCACAATCTCCGCAAAGCAGTCAACCATTGTGTCTACGGGTAGGAAAAAAATTCTTTTGGTTTATAAAAAAAGGTGCGTAGTAGTAAAAGGCTTAGAAGTCAAAATATTTTGACGTTTCTGCTCCATGGTTGAGTTACCTTGTCTACCTGTTTGTCGCCCCCGTCGGGGAGGCCTCTTTCTAGTAGAATGTTATATTAGATCGGCGTTTATTGCTACACCGCCGGTAACAAAATGTAATTGAGCGGGTGAGATAGAGTGCTTCTTTCTAAAAACTTTTCTAGCTTGTTTATTTTTCGGGGGGGGGGGTCGATCAGAATTTGAAAACAGAGCTAAAAGAGGAGATACTTCGGGTGTACGAAAGATGCAGTTTGCATGAATCATGAAACTAATTATTATTCTCAACATGCGTTCATTATTATTGTATTTTTAAAAAAAATGTAAATGCTTTTTGCCTACATTAACATATTTTTTAAAGATCATTTGGGAGGTGCGCTTCGACTCGGCGGGCTGAGAGGTAAACAGAAACCCACAACTCTC